TGCGTCGGGTGGCGGCGGGTTTAACGACGCATTTATACTTACATGATCTAACCCAACATAACCTTTATTATGAATGATACCGATGTAAAGATACAATTCCCGAGTTTGTAATGCTTGTGGAGATGTAATAATCACAGTGACAACTGGGCATCATTCTGGCGATGTCTGGGGATGTCATCGCAGTCTGTTCCAAACTCCTGACGCTGTTGATTCGTTCTGCAGCGAGGCCCGGCTAATGATCTCCCTTTGTTGCTGCTTGAGATCAACGACAGACAACGGGGGGCACTGAAGTCCTTTTGTCAGGACGTCAAAGATAGGTGCATACTTTAGTCTAGCCAAACTAGTTTTTCCGACGCATACGAAACCTTTGCCGAACATCACTGGGCGGTCGCAGATTGTATCTGAAACTGTCCCAGGTGTCCCCTGGGTTAACTCGACCGATACAAGTAGCTTGCGGGGAGGGGGGGGGGGCGCCAGAAATCGGGAGACACGCGCAGGGCGTGCGGCTAGCCCCCCTTTGTACGATGCGATGGGCTTCATCGGTGCTTGATAACGTAATAGGTGCTTGATACCCCCCTCCCCTTCCCGAGGGTCTGTGAGGCTGATCAGGCGATGCCCGAATACCTTTCGGAAACAAAGCTGCACTGTAGTTCCATACTCCTCGTGCATTATTTGGCTCACCGTGGTACAGCCAGCCGTTGCCGAGCAGACAGCAGTACATAGCGTACGGCCCTGGCTTAGAAAAGTCACTTTACCCGCCACCTATTTCACATTAGATTTGTGCCGCAACAGTAACGCCACTCGGGAGGACGTGTACATTTACAGGACACGCTGGCTTTGTTCGAATTGGGAACGCTCAAGATGTTTCGCAGGCTTTCGCGAAAGCAATTACAGTAAAAACTTGGATTGCGAGTATAATTCGTTCCGGAAACGTGTTTGTAATCCAAAGCACTCGTATATCAAAGCACTCGTAGTATATCAGTTGTGATCACGTGACGCTCGGCAGACAAAGCGTATACGTACCACTCGTATTGCAAGACCCTCGCTCGTTTATCAAATTAATATGTACTTTAAATGTTTGCTCGTCTTGCAAAACACTCGCAGACCAAGTTACTCGCAATCCAAGGTTTTACTGTACAATTGCATTCAACAACAATTGGTTTTCGCTATGAGAACGCAGCAGCATTCCAATATTGCTGACAGCATACAAGATGGGACACTTCACTCTTGTAACTCTTTTCAACTTTGTTTCTTGTTGTTACGCACACACAATTATTCACTATCATTTACACTGTGACACATTGTCTTTAAGCGGTTAAAACCTTGCAAGATTGTACTAATTCTTAGATAACAACTACAGTAGTGCAGCAGTGATTTTATGAACAAGTATACGGGCGCACAACCCAGTAAGTGGTAATTCAGCCCATCATCATCCTTTTGCGATGATAAACTTGGTACCACTTGGTCACCATGACTTGATGTAAAGTTAACAGGAGTAGAGGACAACTCCACGCTCTGCACAACATGGGGACGCTCACTTTGACCCCAATTGGTTAACACGGTTATTTTCAACACGGATGCCCTTTACAATTCTAAGCGTAACATTCAATGTACTAACCGACTGAACACAGATACGAACGTGAAACCAAATGAGCCCTTGGCCTAATATTTTAATCGGTGGTTATACATTCCGAGCTTTTGCGGTAACCCCTTACCTCTCTCTCTCGTGTTTCCTAATGGTTAGACGTCACGCAGTGTCTACTATCTACGTGTACGGGATGGGTGTCTGTGCGGTGTAGATACCCGTGGCCAGGGGGGGCGGCGGCGGGGGTGAGTCACTAAGGGCGGCGAGCCGTTTGCTGCTGCTACACGGTGCCGTGTCAGATGCTATTTGTGGGTATTTTTTTTATAAGATAGCAAGACCCAGTGAAATATCCTCCCCTGCAATTGGTGACCTCTATTGTGGAGCAGGTGCCCACACACACACACTGTTTATATGTCCTTCCAATAAAAATGCTCAACACAACCTCCGATCCGTTGCGTTCGGTTGGCTACGTACGGTGCAAAAGAAGTTCGGTGCGTTTTAAAACATATAAATACACGCTTGGTTGGGATTGGCTCATAGGACCGTGGCAGCACCGCACCGCGTTCAAGATGAAAGCGCACAGCAGATAGCCCAGCGCAGGCTACGGTTGGCTGAACTCACAACATTCGTCGTGTATTGTAACATGGCGCATAACGTACGCTGAACTTATTTCGCACCGTACGCAACCGACAGTGCGAATCGTGTTCATTTGCTACTACAATGTACGCATGTTGGGCACGGAGGGGAGCAGCAGAGGGAATGTGGTGAGCGGTAGTGCAGCGGTTAGCGCTACGCTGCGCCACGAACCTGGCCACCCGAGTTCGATTCCCGCCCACGGCACAACACCATTGACGATTATCTGAAGCGGTCGTGGGCCTCGCTTAGGTCGACTCAGCCTCAAATGAGTACCTGGTACGTGGTGTAAACATCCCCACTGGGAGAACAAATGCGGCTGGGCGAGGCGTTTGCTAATACCACCCTCGTGTTGCCGTGCCGGCCTTCATAGGTGCTACTCGCCAACAGCACTTGCCCCAACAGTCGGTCATTGTCTTGTGTGACTGATGGCTGTTGACTGATAGTGAAGGTGGTGGGTATGGTCAGGGTGTACACGTTTGACGGTGCTGTGTAAGACACAATGTGAATGCCAAACTCCGTGCGTCTCTATGGAGAACATGTACACGGCGACTTGATGGGCAGCGGCTGAACGTGGCATGGAATCTAAATGTCAAATTTCCACACAAGGTAATTTAGAGTCATGGTGTCATGAACTATACACGTTAAGGTAGGCCACGTGATGTATTATGAATGCGATATATGATACGCCGTTTGCATCATGCATGGAGGACATGCGTCCATTGTTGCCCAACTCGGTTGCCCAAAGTTACAGCGGGATTATGGTGGTGGGGGGGTATATAGCAAGTCCACACGGATGTCAGCTGGTTTTACTGATTGTCTCCATAATCAATAAGAGGTGAAAGGGCAGCGGTGATCAGTTACATATGAACATCTGGGGCAAACGTGATTAGTTTTTGCAAGATAAACCCAATAAAAGCGTAACATCTGAGTGTATTTGTTTCCGCGCTTTATAACATATTTTACGAAACAAAATGCTCAATAGCATCACGCACGTAACAACACATGATGTAATAAATTAGAGACCAATATAACGCAAGACTTCTGTTTGCGCGCAGTCACTTTAAGATGTTTTCTTGTTCATGTTTTTTTGTTTGTTGCGGTTGCACCCGATTCAAGAGCCGAATGGCTCACAGGGCTATACCAAATAAATGAAAAACTAAAAAACTGAAACATGGCGAGATGCAGACATCACCGTGAACAACGTGTCATTCTAAGTTGTAAACAACTACAGATATACATAGTCTTGCTTCTTTCTGTTAAATTCACCAAATTGTTTCTTGCTGTGGTTGTCCCCGCCTAATGACGGACGCTGGTGTTGCGCCCGAAACGTCGTGCTTTAATTTATTTTTATTTCATTTTTATTTTCTTTACCTACGTGCCTTTACCGAAAGAACCAAGAGTATGGATCCTTGCAGTCACGAAAACTTTTAATCTAGAATAACTACAGGTATGTTTACATGGTTTCCAAGATTTGCAAATCCTGTCTTCAAACATCATCGACACCGGCTATGCGTATTCCAGTCTGGTCTGTTACAACCGAGCATTCAATAAGAGGAAGCCACTGGAGCTACGCACTTTTAAATCAAGATTGAAAACTTAACTTCTTTAAAACTGCGATTAGCACGGTTGACTAGGCACAACGCGAAAAAAAAGTTAAACTTGGAGGCGTACAACACCGCAGCATTAGCTCGGTTATCTGGAGCTCAATCTTGATGGTGAAATAAACACTAAGTGAGTACCTGCCCGTATATCTCCAACGTTTAAAATGTGAGCAGTGTGCGTGCTCGGGCGAGTGCTGGTGTTCCTGTGGTGCCCAGTCATAGCCACCATCGGCAAAAAAAACGATCTGCGTACCACCATATTCAATCATTCGCCTTTGCTTAAGGTAATGGGGAGACGAGTAAATGTAATGGATAAATGACAATTCATCCAACTCTATGAACCAGTGCACCCCGGCATGCACCCGATCCCCATCGGACGCCGTGAACTCGGCAGCGTTGGGCAAGGGTAGTGGCAATCATTGGAAAGATGTTCTAAATCATACCAAACATTAAACTAATTTTCAATGGTACAGTATATTTATTCAAGCAGTGGTATGCTAAACTTTCACAGCAGCTTATTTCCCTTCACACCAACATTTGTAAACTCCCCCCCCCCACCCCCCGTGCCGGTCCTCTACAGCATTTTATGCTAATTCCTTTGTCAAGGCGTTTTTTGTTTTTTTGTTTCCCCCCACACAGCTTAAAGGACGCGACCTGGGCCTGGCTGTCTTCACTCCAACGCTGTCCTCTGGACAGTACGGTCCCTTCACCTGATGAAGGCCACTTGTGTTGTGGCCGAAACGTCGTGATTTTTTGTTGTTTTATTTTTTTACCCACGTGACTTTACCGAATAGAACCAAAGAGTAAGGATAGTGGCGTGCGCGGATGGGTGAGCAGCACGTGCAATAAGATAGGTGCAGCAGCAGGCGGCGCTATGGACAGTGCAGAACATTCAATTGTTGTTCTCCACTCCACCTCCCACCTTCAATGAGCCGCCACTGACCAGCGTGGTGAAGTACGGTCAAATATTCCTCATGGCCTACGAGGCGTGGGTTGGGGAGGCCCCCTCATCCGGCAGCAGTCTGATGACGAAACGGTTTCTACGCGGGCGCGCACAATCTGGCTCTGCAAATCCCCTGGGTTGCCCCCGACACCCACAGGGGCTTCCAACCCCCACCCCGTATGCTCGACGGGCCACCCACCCCCTTCCCCTCCCCGGCAAGAGAAAAGATGATTACCTTGAGAATCTCCAGGTCCAGGATGTCGAACACGGCCTCGGGGACGCCCGACAGCATGAGCAGGTGCAGCTCCATCTTGTCCTGCGCGTTCTTGGTGACATGCTGGCGCAGCTTCTCGTAGCTCCACTCGTGGTTGAGGCTCAGCTGGCGCAGCTTGTTCTCGCTCACCTCCGACAGGAAGACGGCGAAGCGCTTGGAGTAGAGCGAGTCGTACTGGTCGATCATGTGCATGAGGAAGGCGAAGTCGTTCTTCACGTCGGGAATGTCGCTGAAGTTGCTCTCCTCGCGCACCTTCTCGAACGAGTACTCCTTCAGGGGCCGCTTAAAGAGCCAGTAGAGCGTGTAGAAGCACACAAGGCCATAGAGCACGACCACAGCCATGTAGGTGTAGAGCACCTTGCGGAGCAGGTAGGCCAGCGTGTGCGTGCAGCAGAACGTGGTGTATCCGATCAGCTCCTCCACGTCCGGCGCGCACTCGTGCAAGAACTGGATCTGATCCACGAAGTATGACGTGTAGCCCACGATGAGCAGGATCTTCAGAGTCTTCACGAGGCTCTGCAGGGTGTACAGCTGGTAGATGATGTCGCTCTCCTCCACGTGGAGGCGAAACTTGCGCACCTTCTCAAAGAGCGCCTTCGCCTGCTCGCCGTCCTTCTTGTCCAAGATGGTGACGCTCACGCCGCTCTGGATGGACGTCTCGTGCATCTGCTTGTCCACCGGCGCCAGCGGAACGCTCTCCTGGTCCTTGGCGAACATGGGCATGCTGGGGTTGAGGCTGCCCCCATCGCTGGCGCTCACCGAGCCCAAGTTGCTCTTGGGAGGAGACGCGTGGTCGGACAGCTTGCTCTGGTGCTGCGGAGCGGTCCCGGTAACCTCCGACTCCTCGCACGCTGTCTCCGACAGAGCCTTGGTGGTCCACGGAGACTCGAAGCACTTGCCCAGGATGGAGACAAAGTGCTCGAGCTTGGAGCTCGTCTTGGGATACTTGAACCAGAAGTTGCTGCTCGCCATCAGGATGACCGTGTGAATTAAGGCAAGGAAAGGCATGTACTTGGATATCCAAGGCAGAACATCGTGGTAGCATTTCTGATTCACGAAGATGTATTGCATGTATTCCATCCCCGTTTGTCTGCCACTGGGACTAGAATCTAGGAGTGGAAACAAACACAAAAGCATAACCTTTACACATGTGCTGGTTAGGAGAAACACAATATAATGTAAACTAAAATACACGCCAGTACATAATTGGCATAACGAATTCGAGCTTTGAATCAGAATAGGAATATTTATTTAGAGCGAAGGAATCCGATGATCTATGAAGCTATTTTTCACAGATGTCCAGTAGGGGCATGGCGTCAGAACATTATGACATACGATGCCCTGGAAGAGCTCTTTTTGAAGACAACGGCAGTGACCGTTGTACTGCATCCGTGTCTTGAGCACAGGCTCCCAATTTCCACGCCGGGCTCACTCAAAAGCCTCTCTCTCTTGCCAGCCACTTCCTCGTTAACTGCGTACCGTGGTTTAACATCGGATGAACTGTTGCTATGGCTAAGGGCTGCAGGTGCTGGTGTATTCATGGTGAACATTGAATTTGGTCCGATGCCACCACTGGGCTGTACATCGCGCAGCTGAAATGTGCTTGCTGCAGTGTTGTTTAATTAGCAAAAGTCAATCTAACCAAAGGGAACACGTTCAGTAGTTCCACGGTCAGTAGTTGTATTCTCAGTCTCAAATACTACACACGTTAATCTTTAATTGTCGTATTCGACACACACTTCGTTAGTGTTTTAATGAAATTCCAGCAAAAAGATGCAACCGTTTAATCGGGAATTAATGAAAGAAAATAATACAAGTTTTGTTTCATCAATTAAACAGTTTATAAGGCATTGGGGCTGTGATGTAGCTCAGCTGGTAGAGCAACAAGCATCCAATAGCAAGGACGTAAGTTCAAACCATGGCCAAAATCAAGTCAGCCCAACCCCACTCAGGGGTGAACCATGGAATAATAATAATACGTCACCTGGTGTGGACTCTTGCACAAGAAGCCATTAATATTGGTCGCGAAAGCCTACGTGTTAAACCAAATAGAATTATCCCTATCATCAGAACATGGAATTTACACTGAGAGTTCAATGTGGAATTCGACCATTGGTTGAGGCATTAAGATGCACAGGAGACTTGCAACGATTCCAAACGCGCATGCTACACATAAGCGCGCTACACGGGTGCACGACGCGTGCAACGAGTCACATAACGGGGGAGACGGGGGGGCATGCGACCCCCGCAACCACGAGAGGAAACTACCTGAACCACAAAGTGGGAGAAATTAAATCGATTCTTGAATCAAATTGCATCTCCAAATCCTGGCAGTTGATTGACTCGCGAGCGGAGGGGGAGGGGGGCAAATAGTCACAAAAGAAAATAGGCTTTACCGTTTCTGCCAACGACACAGGTGCTGATGTGTTTAAACACCAAATAGACACCCCCTGCCGCAAGGCATCAAGTATGCCAATTATTAACCACGCATGCTTGTGGTAAAACATGTAAACAAACATGCTCTGATATAATATGCGTTGTCTTTTAAAATGTGCCGTAGATATCACTGCTCAACCAGAGATATTGACGCTTTGATATTTGCATTGTCTTTGCGCTACGTACGGCGCGAAAGAAGTTCAACGTACATATACACGTCCTGTTCGCCTTTTGGCGTTGTTCCCTGGTCTCACACTCCGAGTGAGATTAGGCCATAAAGAATAATAAAAGCTGACATTTTATCATTATCGCCATAAATTTATGCTGGCAAAAAGATCAGTGCGATTTTAATTTTAGTTAACTTTTTTTTTTAAAGTGCAATACTTGTTGCGGACTGTCCTTTCGGCAGTCAATAAAAATGAAGTGTCAGATTTATCTTGTGCGAGGTTTGTGTAACCCTGGCAACAACTCCTCATCGCTGCACTTCTCGGTCCTTTCCAATCAAAACGGCATCCCTTGCCGTGCGTTCAAACCCCTGCCGTTTTTATCTATCCAGACGAGATGACATGTCGCGAAGGCACCGTTTCCCCTTATCCTTGGTGGCCGTAACGAGACATCAGACTCGTCCCGCCTGCTAGACCCATGACAGCGCATGCAGCAGTGGTGAGAGGAACGGCGGTTTTGCACAAGCCGCGTGACGTTGCGCACGTCCATCACGTGCAAACTGCGAAACATCCGGGCCAACACATGTCTGAGAAGCATTACAACGTAGAAACAGTCCTCGCTCTGACAATGGGTTGGCAGCTGGGCAACCTTGGACACGTGGCAACGCCCCAGGAGGTGCATCAGGTGATTTATAAATGTGACATTATATCATAAGTGAGAGTCATCGGTGAATAACCATGTATGAATCTGCCAATGTAAAATAACTACGATAAAATGTAAATCCATATGGTAACCTAGAATTACATCAAATACTTTTCTAAACTCATTGGTCGTAAACAATGTGGCTTCCGTTGAATGTTGTTCAATTCTCTTGCAGTTATTAGCGAGTTAGGATACCTCACAAAATGGGCAATTGGTTAAAATATTGATATTCATTATTCACAGTACCATGTTGGGTCAGGCGTGGGGGGCTGGGGGGAGTAACGCAGTTGAAACAAAAGTCAACGAGGGGTGTACAGTACCCACAAAAAAGGCTGAGAACCGCCGCTTGGTCGACACGGTGACTGACAAAGCTCCGAGCGGAAAAAAAAAACTGACACTTACGCGACGCCATTACGACAATTGAGTCGGAAGTGGGGTGAGAATTCCAGCGCGGTGCAAAGCCCGAACCTTTTGTTGGCGCACTGGGCGAGGCCGTGGCCAGCAGGGACTTCTGTATGGCCGAGTCGGAGAGACACGTCACGTTCTCGTCCAGCTTGGGAAGGCAGCAGAGCGGGTCGCGTGAGAACTGCATGGTGCCGGCGAAGATGGACAGCATAAGCATGACGATGCCCAGGTAATCGAGGAACACGTCCCACCAGGGCTTGAGGATGCGGTAAGCCGGCTGAGAGTCGCTGAGCGACGCGACCTCCGTCACCGTAAACATTGCCTGTGAAAAGCAAAGCGGGGGAATAAACACAGACACGGTTTTTGCGACTCGTTCATGATCCCGGAAGCCGCAAGTTACTCTTTCACTTGACGGAAACTACGGAGCTTCATTACCCTTGCCTTCTCCTGCAATGTTGAAATGGAGAGTTTCTTACAGGCTTAAGCCAACTGAAGACCAGGTAGGTTCGTTCATTTCATCTTGTTTAGAAATAACGAAAGGTGTAATCTACGAGATGGTTCGTACATTTTCCAGGACACATCTAATGTAACACCTCCCTATATTTATTTCAACATGTCGCAGTAAATCCCTAGTTGCCAACCTACTTAATTTTCATTCTATTCAAAAGAGTGAGCGTAATTTCAGGTTCGCCTGATTTAACTCGCGTTTAGATTACCAACCTGAAGCGTAACGAAGCAACGGGACCACATGTGACCCCGTGATGCTGGCAACCAAAAGGACGTTTTAAGCCCAGGCCTAGCTCTAACCGACGTATCGACGGCAATGTCTCTTGCCCAGGTGACACCACCAAGTTAGTGGCCGAATTACCTGTGGTCGATTTAACATCGCAAGCAAACGCACCGCTTCATACCCACCACCAACATTGCACGATGTGTGTCGCACCTTGGGAAAAGACAGGACGATGACATCTGCCCTCAATGCAAACGACATCAGCAAATTATCCAGAGATATATAGAGAAAAACCATCTAATTTACAAAATGTATCCTTCCCACAATGCCTTTTTGCCACCGTCACCAAAAACAATGTACAGTAATTATATGGAGAAAGAGAATTGTACATCAATATTAAACATACACAGCCTTTTGTATCCTGAACTTCTTCCGCACCGTACGTAGCCAACCGTGCGTTGTTAATCTAGTGCTGGATGAGGGCCTCCCCATGCCGTGCAGGTCACGAGAGTTATTTGACCTAAAACCGCTAATCTGGTGTGGGTTGATGAAGGCGGGCGCAGCATAGACGTGAGTATAGTACAGTACAACAATGGATTTTTTTCCAACGTAGCCCCACAGTAGCCTACAACACTTGCGTTATGCATGGTGGTCGCTGTCCAATCAGTATCCAGCCCAAATCCTGCTTAGATTCCGGGATTGGATGAGATTCAGGCGCATTCTGGGTGATTTAGCAACAGTCCAATTGAGTTAGTGTCACTGTATTGATATCCACGACAGTATACTAACGTTGCGTTCTTGTGTTATCTAAAAGTTTGAAGGCCGCCCTTATTCACACTGTTTATGTTCAAGTCATATTCAGACTTTGATCACGAATAATACCCATGGAATGGCACTCGCGCCTAGTTACATAACTTGGAACATAAAACGTTCCCGTTCGGTTTCAAATTGCCAGCGGTACGCGCACATAGGACAAGTTTGAAATGACATTCAAAAAAACGTGTAGCGAGCATCACAACACCTCTTCGCATTACACAAACAGCATCCCCACTTCCTGAAGAAGTGCATTGTGGTCCTCGTCATGGTAACCATCAAAGTGAATTCGAGAGAATGTGACCCGACTGACTGCAGCAGTGATGCCCACTGCTGCAGGGTCTACCTCTCAAAACCAAATTTACACGCGACTGGGCCCATTGGCTTGGCGGATGCCAACGATATCAAACTCTACAAATGATGAGGAAACCCATCATCTATATAAATAAAGACCTTAATCTGTATGTCTCAAAAACATCGAGGGTATTTCCCGACATGGCAGAAAGCTGAAGATTGATACATAGGTAGCTTTTAGGACACAAACAGGAAAAATCTGAAAATCTTATTTTTTTTGTGCCCCATAAACATGTTTGTACGAGTCAGTCAGAAACCGTTTAAAATATGAGATAGCATTATTTTTTTTTTCGTTTGATAGGGCGTTAAACAGCAAATAAAATTAAAGCGAGAACCATTGTTCTATTTTTTATTGTTTTTGAGATTTCGGATTTAAGCAGTTTTTAACGAAAAATGACGCATTTCAAATCTGAATAATTCGAAAACGGTAAAAGATATGATGTTTCCCTCAGAGTATCAAGTTCATTCATTTTTGTTCTTTATAACGAAAAAGAACGGAATAATTAAATTCTATTTTTTTCGCGGAAAAATACACATTTTTGATAAGTTATTAGTGGTCTGATCATAGATACGAATTGTAAAAATTATATTCTTGGTTCTTTCGGTAAAGTCACGTAGAAGGGAAACAATAAAATTATAAAAATATAAAACAATATTGTTTCCCTTCTACGTGACTTTACTGAAAGAACCAAGAATATGAATCCCTGCAGTCACGAAAGCTTTAGCTCAAAATGTAAAAATTATATCAGGTTAATGATTATATTTATTGAACATTTTTGCCCGGCGAAGACAGCCTTCATGAACAAGTCATATATATCTGAGAAATGTTTGCTGCGCTCAAAAGGCTATGTATAAATACGAGCAAAAGTGTGTACAACAAAAGACGGAAAACGGTGCCACGCATAGCCTTAAGAGACTGTTAGGCAAAGTGCTGTTAGCGAGCACCTATGAAGGCCGGAACGGTACACGATGGGGTGAGTGGCCAGCACCACGCCTGGCCGCCTTCGTCTTATCAGTGGCAATGATTTTACACACCTCCACCAGGTACTCATTTGAGGCTGAGTCGACCTAGGGGAGGCCCAGGACCGGTTCAAATAATCGTCATTGGTGTTGGCCGTGAGCGGGAATCGAACTCGGGTCGCCGGGTTACGTAGCGCAGCGTAGCGCTAACCCGCTACGGCACCGCACACAGATACACACACGCCAACAACTGTATATGATGTATTTGTCAAGTTGGTATACATAACGGAGTGGCTGAAAGAGCAGGGGGCCAAAGGTTTTGAATACAACCCTCTCAACGTGCAAACAACCGCACTGCCGCTTGTCTGCGCGCGTCCATTTGCACTGATGAGCCTTGCCTTTGTAACAAGGGTATTCCGCAGGCCCCACTTCAACTCGCACTCACTTGGGACAGCAATGAAAGGCAATTTATCTTGCAGCTGGCTTCCTTTGGGGCCTAAGTAATCGTGAACAGCCGAAATGAAAAGGCACCATAAGCAGATGCACAAATTGATCACCGCGTTTAGTGAGACGTTACCTTCCGCCCAACTGGTAGGCCCGCAGCGGTGAGGAGGCGCACGACCACCCGAGTACATTTCAACCCAACAAATAAGCAAAGGCTTATCAAGGGCACGCTTAAAAAGTTGACATTGACACAACAGTATTTCACAAGGTTTGACTGCTAAAAAGTGGACACTTAGAAAAGTACTTTTGTGAGGCAGTGCATTTGCCACATTTCTTGTTTTCATACGGGGTGTGGACGTTTTGACATGGACAGCCGCTTTGTGATCTCTTTATGAAAGGCACTCGCTCTACAAAAGTGGATTACCGCTATTCATAAAGACTTTTTCCGACGGAGTATTTTTTAACCGCTAATTTATGAAGACTTTTTCTGACGTAGTATTTCAACACGTGTATTTTTTGTTTACGAGAAACAAAAAACGCATCTTACAGTTGTTGCAAACTGCGTTTTAATCAGCTTTCCTTCCGGTTACCGTGGGGGTTAATAACCATTACATCTCGAGCCAGTGCCACTAACCAGGCCAAATTTGTCTTCCCCAGTGCTGATCATTTGGCATTAAACGATTCACTCTCTACATAAATGTCATGAACTCTCACCCCTGCAGTCACAATTTGATTCAAGATTCCATCCTCTTCTCCGGTCTTACCGTCTTCACTGAATGCCGTTCTCTTGTTTGTGTCTCTTGCGTCTGTACCAATAGCATAAATGTAACACTTAGCGTCTCGTTCTCATAAATCGCACGGACTATAACTTCCATTCTTTGTACAAACAATACCGAGGGTTGACTTTCATCGAGGCTTTCCGAGCTATGCTCGGAAAAAGGTCTCCCGACTCAATTGAGAGGCACTGGCTTGCCAAGAGGACGGCAGCTGTAGCAGTTGCTGAAGCGAAAGCTCCCCGGGCGTGTGAGGAGTTTGGAAAGGCCATGGAGAGGGAATACCGGGCAGCCTCAAAGATGTTCTGGCAAACCATCCGACGACGCCTTAGGAGGGGTCGACGGGACGTGGCCCAGGATGTCCTCAGGAAGGGCGGCGGCGTAACATTGAACTCAACTAAGGAGATAGTCAAGGAGGTGGAAGGACCTCAACCCGGTGGACATGCCCTCCTCTCAGGAGGCAACCCTGGAAACAGCTGGGGAGGGGTCGGATCCACCACGGCTTCTGAAGTCGCTGTGGCTGGGGTGGACGAGATTTGCCCAGAGTTGTTGAAAGCGCTGGACAGTGTAGCAGTGTCCTGGTTAACACGCATATTCAATGTTGCATGGAAGGCGGGTACAGTACCGCTGGTTTATAAAAGTGGAGTCGTGGTCCCCATTTTTAAGAAAGGGGACCAGGGGGTGTGCTGCAACCACAGAGGACCCACACTCCTCAGCGTCCCAGGTAAAGCCTATGCCAGAGTGCTAGACAGGCAAGCCCATGAAAAACGCACAAACCTGACCTGGCAGCTCTATTATCTGACTTATATTTGGCAGACAAATAAAGCTATAACTGACCATTTTAAGCTCGCTCTAGGAAGAACGAATGTAACGATTTATCGATTTAATAATCAAATAATTACGCCTGTTGTTTGGAACGTGTATGCAAACGTGCCATATATGTTCACGTGGTGAATGAGATCGAATTGGATAACAAATGAGACAGTAAAATTTACGAAAAAATAATTGATTCCTGAATAAAAATGACAACCTCGATCATCACTGGTTTGCGAGGGCAGCGAGTTCTACAGAATTGGAACAATGTTGATAATTTGCTGAGACAGGATGGTGACCAGGTTAGGGTGACATAAATGCCTGCAAGGCGGCGATCTTGGAGGTCAGATTGGTGGATCAAGTGGGTATAGAGAGTCATCGTGCTTGGGATAACCAGCTGCTTTAAGGAGGTAGTACAGCAAAGTCGGCTCACGA